GCAGTGTGTGGTGCATAGAGATATTAAGTCAAACAACATAACGCTAGATTCTAATTTTGATGTTAAGCTTGGTGACTTTGGGTCAGCTAAGTTGATGGATCATGAGTTAGGTCATATGAAAACAAGTTTGGCGTGTACTTTAGCCTACTTGGCTCCAGAGTACATAAGCACAAGGCAAGTAAGGTGTGTTTAGCTTTGGGGTTGTGATATTAGACATTGTTACCAGAAGAAAGTCTACAGATTGAATGGGGAGGAGTTTAATTTTTTTTTTGCACCTACAGAACAGTCGAACTATAAAATAAGTTTCTGAAGTCCCTTGTGATTTTTATGTCACTCTTTTTGGTCAAGCATTGTGCAACTAATCTTGCAGAGACCACGAATTCTGTTCAATACAGTATATTCTTTGTGAATTTGGAGCAATTTTGGATACCAAATATTAAGCTGATCACTAGGGCTATTGAGCTTAGTTAACTACAGTTGCTTCTATCAAGGAAATAACTGCTAATTGAGCGAGATTGTTGCTATTCAATATTACATCACTGATTGATCCTTCATTCAATACTATATCTCTAATTTGATCTATATATATTGTAATAATGACTAGGATATTTACCTTGAATATAGTTGATTCAGTTTCCATTCTTCTTGGCTGTAATACATGTATATATATTTCCATGAAATCAAAGTAGAAAGTACGATTCCTCAAATATTACTTTTGATACTCTGTTAGTGGTATCAGAGCCTCTTTTTCGCTGAAAACAAGTTTGATCCTGAAACCATGGCCAACCAAAGCCCCTCAACAGACTCAAGCAAGACTACCATCACCACTCCAGCAATTGTTGCCGCTCCAACTGTTGGCAACCCAAACACCAATTCAACCAATGTCATCACCTTCAACGTTGCTGTTCAGTTTCCAGTGAAACTCACTACTGATAACTACTCAAGTTACAGTAGGCAATTTATTTCACTGCTCAAAGTCTATCGGTTGTACGAGTTCGTGCTGGGAATGAGGCCATGTCCACCTATAGATCCCACTCCAAACTCACCTTATGATGTTTGGGTGAGACAAGATCAATCCATTCAACATGCAATTTTGACTTCAATTGCTTAATCAACAGTTATTTCCTTGATAAGGACGGTGGTATTGATTGATACAAAACATGTCTTGTGGCTAAAGGATTTCACCAACGACCTGGGTCCGATTACTTTAATACCTTTAGCCCGGTGATCAAACCTACAACAATTCGTACAGTGCTTTCGTTGGCTATGAATAAACACTGACCTATTCGTTAGTTGGATGTTAATAATGCCTTTTTGCATGGGAAGTTAGAAGAGGAATTGTTTATTGAGCAACCACCAAGTTTTGTTGATAGCTCTCAGCCCTAGCATGTTTGTCACCTTTGTAAGTCCATCTATGGTCTCAAAGAGGCTCCTTGTACTTGAACTTCAGCATGGGTTTGTGAACTCACGGTCTGATTCTTCCTTGTTTATTGTTCATTATTAGTTAGAATGGGTTTACTTCTTAATTTATGTTGATGATATTATTTTTACGGGCAGTACCGAAAAGTTAGTTGAATCAATTATTTCCTTAATGGGTGCCACTTTCTCTATCAAAGATTTGGGTTGCCTCAATTATTTTCTTGGTGTGAATGCTATCTTTACCAATGCTGGTCTCTTTTTGTCACAAGCTCAATACATCCGTGAGCTATTGGCCAAGTTTGGCATGAGTGATGCTAAGCCTGTGCAATCCCCATTGTCCACTGTCCTGTTGCAATTACATCAAGGGAATCAGCTCTTTGATGCTCAACCGTATCGTCAACTTGTTGGTTCTTTGCAATACCTTGCTCTTACTTGGCCGGATATCTCTTTTGCTGTTAACAAATTATCTCAGTTTCTTCATGCTACGTCTGATGTTCATTGGCAAGCTACGAAGCGAATTTTGCGGTATCTTAAAGGTTCTTTATTTCATGGTCTTCTTCTCTGTCAACAACCGATCTCTCCTTTGCATGCTTTTTCTGATTCAGATTGGGCTGGTGACAAGGACACTTATCATTCTACAACTGGATATGTGGTGTTCCTCGGCAACAATCCCATTTCTTGGCGAGCCTGCAAGCAAAGAACTATTGCTCGTAGTTCCACCGAGGCAGAGTACTATGCACTCACTGTTGCTTCTTCTGAATTGGTTTGGCTTAAGCATCTACTTCATGAACTTGGCCATCCTATATCTGAATGTCCTACAATTTACTGTGACAATGTTGGAGCTACCCATCTGAGTAGCTAATGCATACCAGGATGAAGCATATAGCAATTGATCTCCATTTTGTTCGGGAACTAGTTGATCACAAGGTCCTTCGAGTGAGCCATATCTCCACTGTTGATCAATTAGCCGATGGCCTCACCAAACCACTTTCATCGCGTCGTTTTGCTCAACTTCGAAACAAGATTGGAGTCACCGATGGGAGCTCCATCTTGAAGGGGCATATCAAGGAAATAACTGCTGATTGAGCGAGATTGTTGCTATTCAATACTGCATCACTGATTGATCCTTCATTCAATACTATATCTCTGATTTGATCTATATATATTGTAATAATGACTAGGATATTTACCTTGTATATAGCTGATTCAGTTTCCATTCTTCTTGGCTGTAATACATGTATATATATTTCCATGAAATCAAAGTAGAAAGTACGATTCCTCAAATCTTACTTTTGATACTTTGTCAGCTTCAACAAAGCTTATTTGTGAATCTCTAGTTCTTTCGGATGATGCAGCTACTAAACACTGGGGGAAATTACTGCATACCATTGTCACCCTTTCGTCACGGCCAGAACAAGAAAGAGTGGAGCAAGAATCGAAACTGCTAGACGTTGCAGAAAATGTAAGATATACTGTTGCCTTTGTTAAACTTTATAATGTTGGGAAGAAAGAGGAGGATCCATTGTTTACTGATATAAAAGATCCAAAGCAATTCTTGGTGGCTTCACTAGCAAGGCTTTCTTCTCTTTCCTCTGGGAGGTACGCACAGATCATCAGTGAACATCTTGAGCCAATGAATCAAGCTGCTTTACTTCAGCACTATCGCACTTATAGTTGCTTTATAGTTTGATATCTTGTCTCTTTTTTCATTGGGCTTAAGATATATATATATATTGTTCTCTGCTGTTTTCTTCATTTTGTGTCCAAACAGAGATTAATCCTGCTTTATGATTCCTGTTAAATGTTATAATTTATATACATTGCTGAACCAACAACTTATTAGTCTAAATGAAAGGAGCGGTCTTGAGTTTAAATCTTATAAATGGAGAAACAAACACTGAAAGAGTTTTCTCTTACGGGATCTGACATGCCTCGACTCCAGATTAATTGAGATTCAATGTGAATTTCAAATATCAAGAAGTTAGTACAAAAAATATATATATATACTGCTGATGCTAATGACAGTGGAATAAGAGAATGTTGGCTTGCTGTTACTTCAAACAAGGATATTTTTGTATGCTGCTCTAGCAACAGGATATTGTCTGCTGTATTTTCATTTTTTTTTCCTGTACATTTGCCTATCGGTTCTACCTAAATATGACATTTAACGATCCATTGCCGTAACTTGTCAGGATTCTGTGAGGCAAAAAAGTGGGGTCTTTGATTGTGGATCTTAGTTTCTATCGGCTGTATTATTGTGCTGTGGCTGCATAATACATTATTACATCATTGCGCTGGATGACTTGTTGACACGTTCCCAATTATAGGATATCTTGTGGCGGCTGTCCACGAGTTTCTTATATTTTGCTTTCTTCCTTTTGGTCGATGGTAGTTCCACTGTGATCCTCGTGGCTCGTGGGTGTGCCATGCACTTCATTTTCCCTGGTTTTGTCACAATTTTGTGTTGGTCAGCATATGCATTTGTCAGCAAGTTGTAGATCTCACTTGTCTTGTGGTATATCAAAAGAGTCGTAGCCAAAAAGAACTTTGGCTTTCTTTATCCATTTTTTTTCCTTGGTAGGCTGACCAAGTCATTGCCGCCGCATACTCTTCTTGTCTCTGCTTCTATAGTTTTAGAAAGGGATTACCAGTTTTCGAGTCATTTTTTGACTTATTTCAACAAAAGCAAACATGTTTATTAGCTGTAACTACAGTCAAAATTTACGATATAAAATATTTTATTTTAATTAATATTAATTAAAAAAGAGTTAAATATCTTAATTTATAAAATACAAATGAAATTATTTTAATTTTTATAATAATTTATTAAAATAATATAATTTTAAATATTTTTTGTCCTTTTTTTCAACTACAACTGATAAACACTAGTTTATATTTTCAGCTTATGATTTTGGTTTTCCATATTTTTCCATGTTGGGAACCCAAATTACCTAGAATATTTGGATTTCACTGGGCCATTGGGCTCCTACTCTTTTGAACTCTGGATTGCACAATCCATCCATTAACAGAAGATGGAGTAAGTCCAATAGTCCAGTGAGTTTAAACAATAATGAATTTCCGATCTTCTCATTGAAATCGGAATCAACTAAGCAAGTATTTTGTCAAACGAAGTATGTGCTTATTCTCTTAAATTATCCATGGATCATTACCTCTCCACAATCCCGTCATGCATACGAAACTCGGCATCACCCATTAATTATGAAAGAAAAAGTTTTTTTTTTTTTCTTGTACTAAGTCTCTCAGTACATATAAGTTATATTGGATTTTAATTAATTTAAAGTCAAGTTACGTTATCTTATAAAGGAAAAACTCTTTCGGTATGTATTTTTCTCCTTATAAGATTTAAATTTGAGATCTTATTTTAGAAAAATTGAGTTCTTTTCACTTGAATTAATAAATTATTGGATAAAAGAAAAAATGCTTTAATTAAGCAGCCTTTTTCATTAAATCCAAACACAGCTACCAAATCACTCATATATCTTTCAATTCTTCAAAACTACAATTCTCAAATACCCCACATAGCGTTTGAAGTAGCATGGTATTGGTGTTTATATTAATGGACCTTCGGTTCTACATGGGCCATGGGTCCCCATCACCCACAACTCTCAATTGTTACTTGCCCCCTTTTTTTCTGGTCGGCTTATGTAAGCTGGACTAGATTCATTACCCCAACCTTGTAAACGCTAAGCAATTCACACCAAGACCAAAAAGATTCGAGTTATCTTCACATACACTTCCATTCTTTTTCTTTTATGGTGAAAACCTTCTCAAATTTTGATTCTCATGTCCGGAACGAAAACTATTAAACTTTGAGATGATCGAAGAATTTCAAAAGAAATAGAGTGATTCGATCTCTTATTATATAACTTATAACTAAATATATTTAAAAAATTCTCTTAACACAATTATTTGAGGTTTGTGTTACCTATCAATTATTATTACATTTTCTATTATTCTTAAAATAAACTTGGCGTATGAGAGAATTTTAATTTGCAAATCAAATTTCATATCACAACTTGGTAATTTGGTAGGCCTTTAAGCTACAATTTTTTTAACATAAAGTACATATAATAGCCATATTAACACCCACCCAATGTTATGTTGCCTAACTGCCTTCCACTAAAAGCGATTCTTTAATGTTCGCCGTACGATTAATTTATTTATGTGGTTTATTATTAAAACTATCCTTCCTCCCCAAACATTGGTAGTCCTTACTCCTTAGAGGGATTATGATCATAACCATGATGATAATGATGTCTCCATTGGGTCCACCATCATATGGCTCGGGGTTAGCCCCTAAAATTTGGTCCCTCTACCTACCTAGATCTAATTACCTACTTTTGGCACTAGTTAAATTGTCCATTTTGCCCATGTAATTCTTATAAAAATATGACCTTATGCTTTGCTTAGAGGTAACTTTACCTAATCCGGGCCAACCCTCCTCCATTCATATGGGTTTCTATGTCGTTGCAATTTAAGAAAGTTGTGTAACTAGGAATCATGCTCTGGTTTTATTTAGTCTTTTGCTTTGTTTCCATAAATATGCAATTATGCTTTGTGTTTGTTTTAATGAAAAAAATAAGAGAGAGAGAATAAAATAAATAAATTCTCTTGTTAAAAATGGAAAATAATTAAAAGAAATGGACCCCATCACCTTAAAATTTCATCAAAACGTTATTCCACAAATGGGATTTTTTTTTTTTTTAAGTATTTATTTTTCCTTGGTTGTGTAAAGTTGAAATGAAATTGGGGATTATTTGCACAAGCGCAAAAAAAAAAAAAAAAAAGTTGGAAATTTTAGGGGGTCCAGTGGATCTTAAGATTCTCGTCAGAATACGAATAGATCCAACGGCCTACAAAGGGTCAAGCTCAAGTCAAAAGCAAGTCTCATACCGTACGGACAAATGTTATTTAAATATTGAAAAATAATTGCACCATTGCTTCCCAAATTAAAGTGAGTGTTCTTAATCTATTTTATTCATTAAGTTAGTGGTTCCTTTTTTTCCATACTTTGAATTTTTCTATAAATTTTATTTCTTTTTAGAACTTAGTAGTAGCATTCTAGTCATTAATATGCAAAATAATAATAAATATTAAAAAAATTCCCTAGTTAATGTATATATTTACAGGCTATCAAATAGGAAATAATCTTCTTATTTATTAGATAAACTTAAACTCATTATAACAAGGAGAAAGTAATAATACAAGGAAGTGAATTGAGTTTAAAGAAGTATTAATTTCAAATTTAAAATTTTGGATTTTCTTCTTGATATAGCAAATTTGACATGTTATAACCTTTTTTCCTTATTGCAAGTAGATTAACGACCTAGAACTTAAGAAAACAAACCAAAGTATTTAATTAATATTGAAAAAGAGTCAAACTTTCAAAGTCCAAAGTCATTGTTCATCCTTCCATTTCTTGATCCGAATATGATCAATGCATATTCCTTCATCCCAAATATCTTAGACATTGCATACACTTTCCACAACAATATCATTGAAGAATCCTTGATTCGTAAGTGGAAAACCCTAATTTTCCAACCATGTCTACTTTGATTATTTCCGTTCATTTTCCCATTTTTGTTCACCTTTTGGTATGGCTTTCTATTTTTCGCATTTGCTTCAAAATGTTGTTTGATATACTTAAAGCTTTCGTAAAAATCTTGCTTGACTTATCGAACTTAAAATTTAAATCTTAAACTTTAAATTGATTTGATTTCGATAAAAAAATTAAAATATAACTTTAAAAGAAACATGATAAAAAATGTACAAAAGTTTTTACTCAAAATACAAGTATGATCATTCGACCAAAAGAAACATAATCAAATGAAGGAGAGAGATTATTCACCCAACTCAAAGAAGTCATATACAAGATCCAATTGTGAGTTGCCCATGATTGATTTCACATGTTTTAACCCCCCCCCCCCCCAACACATCTTACTTTATTGTTCCCAATGCATTGTTATGGAAATTAACTCATCATAGTTTATATTCTTTATCATACTAGATTTATAGGGTACCCTACAATGAAACGTACTTAAAGCTAGGGTTTGTTATGGAGTGTCCTAAACTTATTCGTGCGTGATGAATTGTGGATGACTAACAAAAAAAAAAAAAAAAAAAAAAA